AGAAGAAGAAGAAGAAGAAGAAGAAGAAGAAGAAGAAGAAGAAGAAGAAGAAGAAGAAGAAGAAAAGATCTCCCATGCTTACATGCAAGGTAGCAGAGGCAGATGGAGACATCTGAGCTGAGAGTAGCCACGAGAGCTGGCATTCCATGGAGGGGAAGGATTATTTTGAAGGAGATTGGTAAGGGCCTTCATATTCTGTGTTTCCAGGGGCAGCATTTGATCAAGTGTATTACTTTGGAAGCTTTGTCAACAGGCTATGATCTGGCTACTACTCCTCACATTTATGTCATTGCAAACTGGCCTGAGACTATGGAGTCAGGCTGGTATTGCAGGTGGTGACTGTTCAAGCTATAGTCTTGTACATTTGTATATTTGAGATGGCTTTATTATGTAGCTCAGGCTACCCTCAAATAAATTAATTCTCTTTTTTTTGGGAAGTGTTTCTAAATATATTATTTTGTATGTTGATATAAATATATTTATTAATATAACACTGAATAATATATCTTGATATATTAATGTATGATTTTATTTTTCTAATTGTTATTTGGAAAGAATTCATTATTTAAACCATGGATTGAACACCAATCACTGAAAGTGGTGCCTAGTAGGAGAGGAATGGTTGTAGAAACTGTTTCCTGGGCCAAGCATGGCACTGCAGTTTTTGGGGTACTTGTCTTGCTGTCTGGGTGTCTTATTCACTCACAAGGGTACATAAGATGGGCAGGAAGATGGTGATGGTGGCTGGATTGCTGACAAACTCTGTGACAATGGACACCAGGACACACGCCAGCAGAGTGATGGCCCATGGCGGGAGGCTGCTCAGGGACAGCATCTGGTGCCCGATCCACGTGGAGAGGCCGGAGCTCTGCGGGAGGAGGTGGTACAGTGAGAAGAAAGGGGAAAACACACATTCCAGAGGGGGCTTATTGGCTGAGGGGTTAAGAATGCTGCCTGGGAGGGCACCAGGCCTCATCCGTGCTGTCTAGCCTGACCAGAGCCATGTTCCGTTTATGATTAGGTCAGTTTTGTAGTTCAGAACTGTCTCAAGATTGAACAGCATTTTAACCTTGGGTTTCCTGGTCATGTGGCCTTAGAGCCACCCTTGTTTGCCACAAGATCCTTCCTAGGGCTTTGTCCTGGCAGCACTGGAGGTCTCTACCCCCTACTCTGTGCTTCCGGGTTACTCTCATCCCAGTCTGACAGTCTCATTCTCTGTAGCCCCCTCACAATGGGAAGGGTTATCCTTCCTCTCCTAAAAATGGCTGGCAGCATTGCGTTTCCGCATTAAAACATCCCAGTTGCATATGCCGTTTTCATCTTTCTCTTTTCTGGCTGACATGCTCAGACTCTTCCTAGAGTGTCCTAGAGACTGCAGAGGCAATAAAGAAATGAAGAGTGGGCAGAAAGCAAGGTAGGATGTTTTACACTCCATCAAGCTCAGAGACCACCTTCACTGCGGCTGGGTGGCAGGCTGCTTTTGCTCCCTTTGCTAAAGTCATCAAGAGCTCATGGATCTCCAGGACCCTCACCACATCATGGAAGGCTCCTGTGAGTCAGGACCGGAGGCCTTCAGAATTCTGTCTGCAATAGCCGAGCCCTGTGGAGGACTTTGATGGCTGCACATGGCACATGGACACAGTGTTGGTTAATAATTGATACAGCTCCTCACAGCCTCCAGCAGCTGTCACTGTTTCTTCTTATAACTCATTATTACACCATGAGAATGGCACAAAGGCAGGACGGGAAGAGCCACCAGAGTTAGAAATAGAGTTAGAAATAGTGCGTTTTAAGAAACAATGGAGTTTTATTTATGATGTTATCCAAATAGTACTAATCACAAAAGTAAAATAATTTAATGATAATTACTTTCCAACAGAAATATTTTATGCTAAAATTTGAAATAAATTTACAAATTATGGTGCAAAGGAAGTCTTATTTTACTTTTCAAAAGTCTTGGTGTGATTGGATTTTCTTGTGTCAAAATCAAACAAACAAACTCTGTAGTTTTATATTCAGTGGAAATGACACAGATTTTACTTGTATTGCTCTGGTATTAAAATGTTTCCCAGAAACAGAGCTGCCTATCTGTAATTCATAGATAAGTCTTGCCACGGTAGGACCAGGCCAAAGTAATAACTGAAATTCAATAGAAATCAATGTGAAACTCTTAACGCAGAGTTAGAATTGCTGGCAGAGCAGATACAGGGTTTGCTGAGCAGACTGAGGTTTAAGCGTGGCCACCAACGTGAGGGATAACAGTCACAAGTGGCTGCAGTTTGAATGTAAATGCTGGCATGCGTGCTGAGGAAACCTCATAAAAGCTCCTATACAACTGCAGGCTGATGCTGACATCAGGGAAGAGGATTAGGTACTATAACTAAGCCAGTGGACAGACCACCCCCGGACCATATTTAAATACAGCGAATTCTGAGTGGGACCAGGAAGTGTAACCTCTGAGAATGGTTAAAGTAGCTAGGGAGTTTTAGCTGGGAAAAATAATCCAATAGCACCAATTTATTGCTTTAATAATTAGTACCTAGAATTCCAGAGAACTAAGCCTGAGTCAACAGTGATGACACACAAAGAATAAAGAGCAGCTTGGCAGAAGTGAGTAACTATGTTTTGCATAGGGGGTTCCCAGCAGTGGAGGCGTGCAAGAGCGAATGTCCTGCAGGGGATACTCAATGGGTAGTGTGGGCCCCGGTGGGCTACGAGGTTCATCCCCGGATAGGAGTCTGGCTGGCTGCCAGTGGTGAGATAGATAGTAGTAAAGTCTAAAAGGAACGGGCAATCAAAAGCCTACCAGGATAGGGCTGGAGAAATGGCTTAGCAATTAAGAGCATGTGTTCTTGCAGAGGACCTGGTTTCATTTCCCAGCACCCACATGGGGGCTCACAGCCATAATTCCAGTTCCCGGGGATGTAAAGCCTTCTGAACTCTGCAGGCACCAGGTACACACACACGCACACACAGGCAAAACACTCAAAATCAATTTTAAAATTTAAAATCTACCAAGTTTGAGTCAGGTAGGCGCATCTAGACGAGGTGGAGTGGGAAGCAGCCTGAACCTCTGACGGGTTCATTCATGGATGCTTTCCTTCACAGAGGGCTGATGGCACGGGAGGCTCAGTTATTTCCCTTCAGCCTCGCTGAAAAGAGCCCATGCTAAATGTTCCCATCCAGGAAGTCAGGCAGCCCTCAATCAGCTTCAGCCAAGAATCTCTGAGAGGCACAGTCTAGGTGTGTAGATGGACAGAGGAGCAACCTACTGAGCTGTCATTTGGGGTCTCTGTGAGCCCTTGCAGCCTACTTCCTGTCAGTGCTATGAGACCCCAGAAAGGAGGTGCCTAGAAAATCCAAAATTCCTTTTGCTTGTGACAATGTGGGCCCTGCAGAGAAGGTATCAGTGCCAGTGTGCTGTGACCTATGGCACCAACTGAGATGATGGGGGTGGGGGGGAGGACAGAGCATTTGTCCTGCTGTGTCACAAACTGACCTAGTGACTTGGTGACCATACTATGCTCTCCCTCGGTTACTTCTAGCCTTCCCTTCAGGGTCATAATGGACTCCTGTAGGAAGAATCTGGATGTTTACCTTGCTGCCAGATGCCAGGGCATAGCCTCCTCCCACCAGGATGACAATCTCCCAGGGCATCGTTTTCTGGAAGTCCTTCCATGTGATGATGGGCTCCATTCCCTGGCTGGCTTCCTGGCTTGCCCCTGTACCGCAGACAGAAAGAAACGGAGTCAGATAAGGCCCTAGAGCAATGGTTCTCAACCTTCCTAATGATGTGATCCCTTGATACAGTTCCTCATGCTGTGGTGATTCCCAACCACAAAATTATTTCATTGCTACTTCATAACTGTAATTTTGCTGCTGTTATGAATCGTAATGTAAACATATGATATATAGATTGACCCAAAAAGGATCTTGACCCACAGGTTGAGAAATGCTACCCTAGAGGTGTGATTTGTGAGGAAGGGTCTGGATAGCACCCCTATATTACAGGGTTCAGGAGCTAGCTCTCCTATTTGGGTTGGAGTCTGAAGAGCCTTGGGAAGTCTCCTTTGAGCATTCTAACTTGGTATTCTTTGGATAAAGCCAACCCCCAAACTTTGTCCCTTTAATCTTCACTCACCGTCACTCTTTTTCCCAAAGCAGGGCTTCTTTGCTGGAATGAGGAAGAGCAGGAAGCCAAGAAACACAGAGACGGTGGCATCAGTGCGGTAGCCTTTCCTAGCAAAGAGATCCACATGGCAGCAGGAGGGGAGTCAGGTCTCTGAGCAGGTCATGGGAACACAGCACCTCCACACAGCAAACAGTCCAGCAGTGGCAGCAACCTGACTTTTGCCAGTTGTTGGGCTATGCTATGGTGTACTCATGGGCAGGATTAATGTCTGGAGCCAGCCTCCCTGAGGGAGGTGTCTTAGTGTGAAGTGACAGCTGGGTAGGCCTTGAGTTCTGGGAGTGATCAGATTTGTTTAGCTAACAGCAGAACATGGGTTTCTGTCCTGTGAGGACCACACCACAACTTTGGTGTATAGGAATCCACAGTGTTGGACTGGGCACCTTGACTGGTGGCTTCTTCCTCCACAGGCCCGAGACCCTGAGGCCAGTCTCATTATAGCTAGTTCTTTACAGATGTTACCCTTGTAATGCTCTTAGCATCCTAGGAGATAAATAAGGCTCCAAGAGCTTATGTAAGATGACTAATGTCACAGAGCTGGTAGCCCCTGGTTCCAACCCCAGACAGGGACCCCCAACACTGTGCTTTCTTCTTGATTCCATACTGCCTCTTCCCTAGAAAGAATGGATTTTTTTTTTTTCAGGGACAAAATGAGTTCTGGGTTTGTGTAATCCATGATTACACCTTGAGGAATGAGTGAGGATGGGGTTCAGGAGAAAACAGTATCACTTACTTTTCAAATAAAGAATCCCAGCCAGGGACAAAGCCAGGCTCCCGGGTAAACCACAACACTGTCATCAGAATGAAGAAAAACGCAGTCACCATTTCAGGGTAGCTGTCAAAGATAGCAGAAAGACACACTTCAGGAACTGGGAGCGGACAGCTTTTTCACGTGGCTTCTGGAAGCTCCTATTTAGACCACCAACACTGACAACATAAAATGTAGTCACTGCTTAAGCACTAGAATGGCTGGCAGCGAATTAGGAAAAGAACTGTTAGAAACAACAGAATCCACGTTTCCTGGAGAAATGTAGGGTGGAGAAGGCACAGCGATGTCATAAATAATATTAGTCTCTCTAGAGAACGTGATACAGTGAACACCTTCAGAACTTGCTGTTGGAACATGAACTGCTACCAACCAATGTTTTAGGACAACTTACCATATACCTTAGTTTTAGTATTCCCTTAACCTGAGACAATAACTGGCAATGAACAATGAATTATTACCTATTTTAAAATGGAAGTAACCGTGTTGTGTTTATCCAGTGAGATTCCATGATAATGAATGTATTTTGGTACAACAGTTAAAATGAGATCCAACCAGTAATAGTCATGTTGCCAGTCATCAAAAGTCTCCCTTCCAAAAAACACCCAGGGCCAGATGGTTTCAGCACAGAATTCTACCAGACCTTCAAAGAAGAGCTAACACCAATACTCTTCAAACTATTCCACAAAATAGAAACAGAAGGAACACTACCAAACTCATTCTATGAAGCCACAGTCACGTCACAAAGACCCAACAAAGAAAGAGAATTTCAGGCCAATCTCCCTTATGAACATTGATGCAAAAATACTCAACAAAATACTTGCAAACCGAATACAAGAACACATCAAAGATATCATCCACTTTGACCTAGTAGGCTTATCACAGGTATGCAGGGTTAGTTCAATATATGGAAACCCATCAATGTGATCCACTATATAAACAAACTGAAGGAGAAAAACCACATGATAATCTCCTTAGATGCTGAGAAAGCAAATCCAACGTCCATTTATGTTTAAAGTCCTGGAGAGATCACAGATGCAAGGCACATACCTGAACATAATAGAGGCAATACACAGCAAGCCTATAGCCAACATCAAACTAAATGAAGAGAAACTTAAAGCAATCCCACTGAAATCAGGGACAAAGCAAGGCTGCCCACTCTCCCCATATCTCTTCAACATAGTTTTTCAAGTCTTTGCTAGAACAATAAGATAATTAAAGGAAATCAAGGGGATACAAATTGGAAAGGAAGAAGTCAAAGTATCACTATTTGCAGATGATATGATAGTATACCTGAGTGACCCCAGAAATTCTACCAGGGAACCCCTACAGCTGATAAACACCTTGAGCCAAGTGGCTGTATACAAAATTAACTCAAAAAACAAACAAACAAACAAACAACAACAACAACAACAAAAAAAACAGTAGCTCCCCTGTATACAAAAGACAAAAGGGCTGAGAAAGAAATTAGGGAAACAACATCCTTCACAATAGCCACAAAGGACATAAAGTACTTTGATGTGACCCTAACCAAACAAGTCAAAGACTTGTATGAAAAAAATTTCCAGTCTCTGAAGAAAGAATTAGAAGAAGATATCAAAAGATGGAAAGATCTCCCATGCTCATGGCTTGGCTGGATTAACAGTAAAAATGGCCATCTTACCAAAAGCAATCTACAGATTCAATGCAATTCCCATCAAATTACCAACACAATTCTTTACAGACCTTGAAAGAAAAACTCTCAACTTCATATGGAATAACAAGAAACCGAGAATTGCTAAAACAATCCTCTACAATAAAAGATCTTCTGGAGGTATCTCCATCCCTGATCTCAAGCTGTACTATAGAGCAACAATACTAAAAACTGCATAGTACTGGCATAGAAACAGAATGGTAGATCAGTGGAATTGAATAGAAGACCCAGAAATAAACCCACACACTTATGGACACTTGATCTTTGATAAAGATGCCCAAACCATACAATGGAAAAAAGATAGTATCTTCAACAAATGGTGCTGGTCTAACTGGATGTCTACATGTAGAAAAATGCAAATAGATCCATACTTACCACCCTGCACAAAACTAAAGTCCAAGTGGATCACAGACCTCAATATAAAACCAGACACACTAAACCTGTTAGAAGAAAAAGTGGAGAAGAGCCTTGAACTCATTGGCACAGGAGACAACTTCCTGAACAGAACACCAACAGCACAGGTTCTAAGAGCAACAATCAGTAAATGGGACCTCATGAAACTGAAAAGCTGTAAAGCAAAGGACACTGTCATAAGAACAAAACGACAGCCTACAGATTGGGAAAGGATCTTCACCAACCCTGTATCTGACAGAGGGCTAATATCCAGAATATATAAAGAACTCAAGAAGTTAAACAGCAATAAATCAATTAATCTAATTAAAAAATGGGGTACAGAGCTAAACAGAGAATTCTCAATAGAGGAATATCAAATGGCAGAAAAACACTTAAAGAAATGTTCAACGTCCTTAGTCATCAGAGAAATGCAAATCAAAACAACCCTGAGATTTCACCTTTTACAGCCATCAGAATGGCTAAGATCAAAATCTCAAGTGACAACACATACTGGAAAGGTTGTGGAGAAAGGGGAATTCTCCTCCACTGCTGGTGGGAATGTAAACTTGAACAACCTCTCTAGAAATCAATCTGGCACTTTCTCAGACAATTAGGAATAGCGCTTCCTCAAGATCCAGCTATACCACTCCTAGGCATATATCCAAAAGAGGCTCAAGTACACAACAAGGACATTTGCTCAACCATGTTTGTAGCAGCTTTATTCATAATAGTCAAAATCTGGAAACAACTCAGATGTCCCTCAGTTGAGGAATGGATACAGGAATTGTGGTACATCTACACAATGGAATATTACTCAGCAATAAAAAAAACAAGGAAATCATGAAATTTGCAGGTAAATAGTGGGAACTGGAGAAGATCATCCTGAGTGAGGTATCCAAGAAGCGGAAAGACACACATGGTATATACTCACTCATAAGTGGATATTAGATACATAATATAGGATAAACCTACTAAAATATGTACACTTAAAGAAACTAATCAAGAAAAAGGACTCTGGATAAAATGCTCAATCTCCATTTAGAAAGGCAAAGAGGATGGACATCAGAAGAGGGAGAAAATGGAACAGGACAGGAGTCTGCTACAGAGAGCCTCTGAAAGGCTCTACCCTCCAGGGTATTAAAGCAGATGCTGAGACTTATGGCCAACCTTTGGGCAGAGTGCAGGGAATCTTATAAAAAAAGGGGGGGGGAGATAGTAAGACATGGAGAGGACAGGAGCTCCACAAGTAGAGCAACAGAACCAAAAAATCTGGGCACAGGGGTCTTTTTTTCTGAGACTGATACTCCAACCAAGGACCATTCATGGAGATAACCTAGAATCCCTGCACAGATGTAACCCATGGCAGTTCAGTATCCAAGTGGGTTACCTAGTAATGGGAACAGGGACTGTCTTTGACATGAACTGATTGGCCTGCTCTTTGATCACTTCCCCCTGAGGGAGGAGTAGCCTTACCAGACCACAGAGGAAGACAATGCAGCCAGTGCTGATGAGACATGATAGATTAGGATCAGTAGGAAGGGAAGGAAGACCTCCCCAATCATTGGACTGGGAGAGGGTCATGGGTGGAGAAGGGGGAGGGAGGGTGGGGTTGGGAGGAAAGGAGGGAGGGAGCTACAGGGGGGATACAAAGTAAATAAGTTGTAATTAATAAAAATAAAAAGAAAAGAAAAAATAGTCATGTTGCCACAGCAGAATGAACGACATGGGGATGCAATCCCAGCAGAAATTTAAGTGAAAATAGACAGGATATACAGTTATGTTCAGTATGAGCTTTATAAAAAATATGTACACATATACATATATATCTATAATAAGCATATCCTATGGTACTGAGGCTTGAACCTAGGGCTTTGTACATGCTCAGCAGGCGCTCTTAACCGCTGAGTTAATATTCCATGCTCCCTTTGACTTTAATTGAAATAGTCTAAGTTGTCCAGTCTGGTCTTGAACTTAACTTCCTGCCTGAGCCTTTGGAGTTTATTGGGATTATAAGTGCAGCTTAATCATATATGTCTCTCTGTCTCGGTCTCTGTCTCTCTCTCACACACACATGCAAACACATGTACATGCATGCACACGCATGTACCCACGTGTGCACACACAGAAATGGGAAGGAGCATATTATGCTAACAATTAACACTAAGATTCAAGTCCATGTTACTTTTTTCTTACATTTTCCTATATTTTATAAATGCCATTCCATATACATTTATTCCTTATAAATTAAAGTGTTAAGAAATACAATTTCCATCTGAATTTTTTACTCAAAGGTCTGCGTGGGGAGTGCTCTGAGAGAGTAGATCCAGCATAGATAGAAGGCTGTACTGGGCGCTGTGGGAATACTGACAGGAATGTCTGAGGTTGTTGGTGACGTCTTGGTTCTCCTGTCTTCAAGTCTGCTTGGTGTTGTCTTATGCTGTAAGTATAGCCCTGAGGTGCCCAGCTCCCTGGATGGGACAGCTGGATCACTAATGTGGCTCATTTGGAAAACGCAGGGACCCTGGCTTTCCAAGGAACCTCGCATGTTCCATGAGTGTGCTTTCTTTCTGTTGCTTTTTCTCCAACTGCCCCACCAGTTACTCTACTCATACCTTGGCTTTTGAAGATAGAAGAGAGTGGCCACAGGAATCTGTTCCGGCACGGCTCTGACATTAAATAACACCTGAATGCTTAGGTTCAGAGTTCTGGAAAATTCTGCAAAGATCTGGAGAGGACAGGAGCTCCACAAGGACCAAATATATCTGGGCACAGGGGCCTTTTCTGAGACTGATACTCCAACCAAGGACCATACATAACCTAGAACCCCTGCTTGGATGGAGCCCATGGCAGCTTAGTATCCAAGGTGGTTTCCTAGTAAGGGGAACAGGGACTGTCTCTGACATGAACTCAGTGGCTGGCTCTTTGACCTCTCCACCCCTGAGGGAGAAGCAGCCCTGATAGGCCACAGAGGAAGACATTGCAGCCAGTCCTGAAGAAACCTGATAAGCTAAGGTCAGATGGAAGGGGAGGAGGACCTCCTCTATCAGTGGACTTAGAGAGGGGCAGGGAGGAGCTGAGGGAGGGAGAGTGAGATTGGTAGGGAATGAGGGAGGGGCTACAGCTGGGATACAAAGTAAATAAACTGTAATTCATATAAAAAATAAAAAAAATAATAAAAATTTCTGCCAATGTGGGGGACTGTCAGGAACAAGGCTGCTGGGTCCCTTCACTGTTGCACTGGGACAGGGGAAAGCAGACGGTGTGACTCTTACCTAATGTTGCCCAGCTTTTCATATTCCTCCCGGATCCTCTTCTCTGACAGCTCTTCCCTTTTGGTCTTCTTCTTCTTGCTCAGAGAACAGGTCTCTTTAAAGCTAGGAAGGGAGAGTGAGCACAAAATTAGAATATGCTCCTGAGGTCAGATATAGCCCCCTCTCCTGCTCTATCTCTGTTCTCTTCACATGCAGACTGCCCCTCCACCTTCTGCTTTTGCAGCTTCTGTCTGCCTGTTACCCAGCCTCTCTTAGACCTTCCCCTGGCTCTGGGTATACCCATTTGGACATGGCTTGGGTGTATCGATGAGGAATCGTGTCTTACAGATGTGCAATTGGATATTTATATCTAGTTACTTTCACACAAGTGTCTTGTACATGAGTAGAGTCAGAGTGTTAAGGTGTGTGTGTGTGTGTGTGTGTGTGTATGTGTGTGTGCGTGCATATGTATGTATGCACACACTTACTTGTCTAGAGACAAAATTTGCCTGGGATAAAATTAGGTGCTAGTTTTATATTACAATATTGGCCTGTTGGCCATTATTGGTTTGACAATAAGTTGAGTAAAAAGAAAACATTCCATAGGCAACTTACTAGCAAAACATCATATGATATTTTACCCTTTTGCGTTTGCATTTGATCAAATGTAGAGTAGACTAATGGTTATTGAGGAAAGGCTTACTAAACAGGTTACTATTAGAAGTAATATCACGAGGCTCATATCTAACTTGTTGTTTTGAGAGATAGGAGCACATTCCATATAATCTGCTAGAGCGAAATCACCACCATCTCTAGTATTAAACCTAGGGCAGCTTTGCTTAGACTCATGTTTCTAAGAACATGATTGGGGTTTCTCTGTGTGATTTGAGGGCAATGAAATTACACCAGACACTCTCTAGACTTTCTGTAAGTTAGAAAGGTCTGCTGGCCAACTGTTTAGAATTAAAACCAACTCATTGTGCACTAAGAGAGTGCAGAGTTCATGAAATCTTCGAGTCTCCACAGGAGACCATGTCCAGCTCCCAGTCGTGTCCCCTGCACTCCCAGAGCAGAGCCTTCCGGTTCTGGGCATGCCCGCTTTGAGCAGCCTTCGGGAGCTGGTGCTTTGCCAGCAGGGCGCTGGCACTCACTTGCAGCCAAGGAAGAGCCAGTGCATCCAGAACCAGCTGACCACCAGCATGATGAGAGAGATGGGGAAGCTGAAGAGGAACCAGGTGCCGAAGTTCACCACCTCTGCCGCCGGATACTGGCTGGAGGGTAAAGATAAAGTCAGGGATGAGGAACAAGTGAAATTCCACATGGTGTTTGCGGTGATAGCAAGAGCGCCTTCAGAAGACATGCAGCAAGGCCAAGGGCAGAGGAAACTACACAATTTAGAACTGTTCAGACCCAACCATACAGACTCAACTCTGCTCCTCCTCCCCACTGGCATTCCCTCCCGAGGCCACAAGGAACTCTCTCTCAAATCCCCCTCCTGCTACTTTCCCCCATTTCATGCTGCTCTCCAGTTTCCACCCAGTATGAGTTTTCAAAACCATAGCTCTGCCCTCACTCCTTACTTCAGATCCCTTGAAGGCATCTCATGGCCTTTCTTTCTGGCATTGTCCAAGCGCTCTGTGGGTTTTGACAGCCCTTTGTTATTTGTCCCTCTCCCTCTCTGGTCCCCTCTGCCCTGTTGTTTAAGTGAAGTGTTCTGTTCTCCTGCCTCACCATCCAGATGGCCCCATCACTGTTGTCTTGGGGGAGGAATTTCCTCCCTGAGGATGGATGAGCTCTCTGAGCAGAACCCTGGACTTGTCTTGCCTCCCAGGCAGCTGTTCTGCTCTGTCCTTAGCATCTAGTCCCAGTCTGGCCCAGCCACCAATAGAGGATTCTTTCTTAGTGCTTGCTGACTGAGTGGATTACTTACTTGTTGAAATGCTCTAAGAAAATAAGGCTGGTGGAGGTGCCAATGATGGTGGTCAGGCCACCAATGGTAGCAGCGTAAGATATGCTCAGAGAAAGGCACTTGCAGATCATTTGGTCATGGTGGGATCTGTACTTCTTCCTGTTCAGTTCTTGGTTCTTGGAGCTGGGGGTCAGGACTCCTGGCTTTTCCTACCAAAGAAAAATTAGTGAATTCCACAGTCAGCTTGGGCTGTCCAGCGCATGGAGCCAGAGAGGCAGGACACACCATGGTCCAGTGGGCAGGTGTTGAGTCTCAGCCTCAGATGGATAAACCCTCGTTCCTCCTATGCTAACTAAGCTTGCTTCTGAGCTTCCATTTCTTCTGCAGAATCATACAGTCTCTGCCACATGGTTGTGAAGGACAAAGGACAAGACCCTTGGATCACTTCCAGAACTCCATTAAGAATGGTGTGTTATTGGGGCTCTAAGCCATCTGGCTTACAGGTTGAGTGCTCACTGCTTTTTGAAAGGACCTGGGTTCTCTGGTTCTACTGGTTCACAACCACCAGTAGCTCCAGTTTCAGGAGATCTGATGTCCTCTTCTGGCCCCTGTGGGCAACAAACATGCATATTTTCTACATATCTACATGTAGACACACATACACACATAAAAATAAAAAATCTTTTAAAATGATAAACTATTATAATTTTTTTTTTATTTTTGGAGTCAGGGTCTAAAGGAACTCTTGCTAGCTTCAAACTTGCTATGTAGCTGAGGATGACCTTGGACATCTCATTACCTCTCCTTCCACCTCTCAAGTGCTAGAATCATAGGTATGTGCCACTACTCCTGACTTACTATGATTTTTGGTGTTTTTGAGGTTATTACTATGGAGACCATTGTTTGTTTTTCCATTGTTTGCATTTAAGTCAACAGAATGTGGTTTTTACTTTGAGCTTTAAAAATGTTTTGTTATTATTGAATGTATTTATTTATTCATTTAATAATGAATGTATACGTGTGTGTACCATTTGCATGCAGTACCCAGGGAGGCTGAAGAGGATGCCAGATCCCCTAGAGTTGTTATAGGCCCCATAAGCCCCTGTGTGGGTGCTGCAAATTGAACCCAAGTGCTCTTCACTGCTGAGCCACCTTTCTAACCTCTAATTTTTTTCATGGAGGTGGAATGGCAGTCCCGGTGGGGAGAAGGGTTAGAATTAAGCTTGGGATGGGGATGTTTCTCGGGGGTAGAGCACTTGCGTAAAGGCCTTAGGTTTGCTACCTAGAAAACAAAGCCAAACAGCCGTCCAATTACAGAAGAACCTAGCTTTCATGAGGAGAAAACGATAACACCATTCCTCCATCCCCTCCTCACACTTCCTCTCCCCCTTTGTCTTGGCCTTGGCCTAGTCTTCTCAGTCTTCCTTGGGTTAGTTGATTATCTCACATCGGACTGTGTGAGACTTGGAAACCTGGTGCAAATGTCAGGAGGCCAAGTCATAAGAAAAATGATAGGAGAACAAGTCATCTTGCTATGCTTCTCATGGCCCTTAAGTATTGTCCATCTTCCTCTGAGGGCCAGAGTAAGGCTTGGGCACTTTTAACCGCTGAAAGGTTTCCTGCCCACTTGAGCTGGAAAGGACCATTTGAATCCCAGGATTCTCATGATATTTTCTTCTAATGAAATTTACACTGAACCTTAATACATGATCAAACTGTAGCTTTGAATTGGCTTCTATTTTGTAGCTGGGGTTTAACTACATGTATTCAAAGGAGACTGGGTTGGAATGGAGATGCTATTCTTTCCAGATCTCATCTGCTGGCTCCTGGTTTCATTCCTCTACCTCATTTTCAAGAACGAAATTCAAAATCACTACCTTGTTGAGCTAGGACTATGGGGAAAATGCACAGCACTGTGCTAATATATGTTAATAGAATAAACATTTCATAAATGGTAGCATTTATTAATGGTGAGAGCGAAAGATGTGAAACAACTGTGACCAGCATTGATTAAAAAAAAAAATCTGAAATCAAGGGCTGCAGGTGACTGACACCTCTTCAGACCAATCTCCAGTCTCAACATCCAACTCATTTCTGCATTTTGTTTTAGTATTACAACAACAGGAAAAAAGACTCATTTGTGCAGAAAAACAAGTGTGCTTATAATCTCAGGACACTAAAGAAAATATTCACAGTGGGGACTGGTAAGAAGGCTCAGTGGGTTAAGGCACTTGTCCCTGAGCCTGGCAAGCTGAGTTGAGTCCCTGGAACCTACATGGTAGAAAGAGAGAATTGGCTCCTGAAAGTTGTCCTCTGACTTCACATTTGTACTTGTATACTCCTGTGTGTGTACATATACACACACTCTGAATAAATAAATGTGATTTTTCTTCAAGACAGGGTTTCTCTATGTAGCATTGGCTGTCCTGGACTTGCTTTGTAGACCAGGCTGGCCTCAAACTCACAGTGATCCTCCTGCCTCTGCTTCCCTGAGTACTGGGATTACAGGCATGGCTACTGCATCTGGCTCTAAATAAATGTAATTTTTAAAGTAAACAAATATTTACAGTTCTATTGAAATGCTTTTGGAAAATCATTTGAACCTCAAATCTACCAACCTTAAGCATTTTCAGTTGAAAAACCTGTGGCCCAGAAAGTCTTGGTTTTCGGTGATGTCCAGTGAGCCTGGGCTCTTTCCGTGGCACACACATCAGACATTTATGCTAACCATACCTCACTAGCCAGAGATCCTGACAGCATTGGGGCCAGTACCTTTAGGAAGCATAAGGTATTTCATAGGGTGTTCAGTTACCTGCGATGAACTTTGCTTCTTATGTTGCTGTTGGTTTGCTGTTTTGATAGGTTTGGTGACCATGGGCACACCATTCAGATTCTGCTGGGACAAAAGCCGTCACACTGTTAGGAAGAGGATATGATCCAAGTAGCTGGACAGGTACCATTTAATTGTCCCAGGGATACCCTAGGTCTTGCCACTATGGGTCTCAGGGAGCAGAAGCCTGGGAGGGCATTCTAAAGAGCATTTCCTACATAGGATCAGGCTCCATCTTCATAGCTTTCGAACTGCCAGGGGAAGAAGCTTTGAAACGTGAGGTCATCACTTTGTCCTTATAGGCAAAACTAGCTTTCTGGGAGTTCACTAGCACATGAAGAACTCTACTACTTTCTAAAAACAAAAACAGTAGAAGCAATGAAATCATTTTTGGGGGATAATTTCATTACCACAGTGAAATCCACAGTTTGGGGGCTGGAGAGATGGCTCAGCAGTTAAGACTATATGCTGCTCTTGCAGAGGACACACACTCAGCTACCCATGTCAGGTGGCTCATAACTTCAGCTCTAGGAGATCCAAAATCTTCTTCTGGACTTTGGAGCCTCTGCACTTACACCCATACACACACACACACATACACACACACACACACACACACACACACACACACACACACACACAC